ATAACTACTACAACTATGGTCGATGAAACATAATATTGACTTTGTTTTTAGTCTATTGTCATGGCAAAAACTACAAGGTAAATAATATGAAATAAATAAATAATAATATGTGGCGCCGAATGAATTATGAAAATATAATCACTATGATGAGTAAATTACAGTACACCAACTGGCGATTAAACGACAATAATATAGGAACAGGAGTGGGGGTAAGCCGGCTGGGCGGCTCTTTTTTGTTATCCACTATCCAGTCCTACAGACACAGACCAGCTAAATAATAATAATAATATATTGTATGCAACATTACAAAATTATAATATTCTTATAATAAGATAATCATATCTAAGCGTCCAATTCAGACCACCGTCATTGTTGCACAACATTACTATATTATATTAGTGTAACAGCGGCCTACAGGCTACAACCACTTAAAGATTTATTTTGTGCTTCACTTACTAGGAGGATTTTGTTGTCGATTCACTTGAAAATTTTACACAAAACTAGAAGTATATAAATCTCAAACACGATGGCATCAAAAAATCAATTCATCACATTTAATAACGGTCAGAAGTATCCGATTGTAGGATTTGGAACATGGAAGGTAAATATTAAATTAATCAAAAAACAGATAGTACTTACCTAGGTACATCTTAATTTAATGTTACTTAATTCTAATTAATACCTGTATACAAGTTGTGCTATTACTTTTAAATTAGCTGTAAATGCCTAGGTACTTCAACTTAAATGATAGGTATTTACATTTTTCAAACATTTTAATCAATTTACATTTTTATTTTATCCCCAAATACGAATAACAATAGGAATAGGTCCTATTTTTACATCTTAAYGTGTATAGCTAAAAACTATGATATTTAAAGTTGTAGTCTTTCTACATTTATAAATTAAGTATGCTATACTCTAAATAGTTAGGTACGTACTTGCTTGATGTTATTATGATACCATCTACCCACTTATATAGATATATTTTTGCCGGCACTGAAAATTGAAAAAAAATATTTCTTAATGATTTGGTTACTTTTACAAACATTATATTATCATATAAAATATAAAAATATAGACATAGGTATGTCTACGACTTGTCACTATTATTACATGCGTAAATGTGATATGAATAATTGTTGTTACTTTTTAATATTGAAAATATTTTTTTTCAATTTATATTTTTATTAGTTATTATTTTCAGTACTCGCATCAAGACAATGATAATGCTTTATTATTTTAAATTTGGGAACCGTACTAATTTACAAACTTATCCAGCCTCACATTCATATAATATAGCTTATGCGACCTACACGGCTACACAAGAGTTCGGGACATGCCTATATTGGTGCTAAATAATAAATTATAAAATTAATATATCAAACATTAACAWAATAATATAAATTATAATCTAATATAGGTACCTAAAATTATTATACTGTTTACTTGTCGAACTATAATCTTAAAAGACAATAATATATCAACTACCTAAATAACAAAACACTAAATGATTACTAAAAATATAAAATGCATAATTAACRGTTTTTATAATTACAGTCAAAGCCTGGTGAAGTTGAAGAAGCAGTCAAAGCTGCTATAGATACAGGATATAGACATATTGATTGTGCTCTGGTTTATGATAATGAAAAAGAAATAGGAAAAGCTATTAAGCAAAAAATTGATGAAGGTGTTGTTAAACGTGAAGATTTATTCATTACTAGTAAAGTAAGAGTATTTACTAATTTCTCATGAATTAAAATAATTAAAAAATACTATATTTTTAGCTGTGGAACACTTTTCATCAACCTGATTATGTTGAAACAGTATTGAAAAAAACTTTATCTGATTTGCAAATTGAATATTTGGATCTATATTTAATTCACTGGCCTATGGCTTTTAAGGTATGATCAAAATCAAATAAAAATAGTTAATGACCACTAAATACCTTTAACAATTAATTGTTTACATTACTAGGAAGGCAAGTTAGAAGATGAATGGTTCCCAAAGGATGCTAATGGAGTGACACTTGAAGGAACTGGTTCTTATATAGAAACATGGACAGCAATGGAAAACTTGGTTAAAAAAGGTCTTGTCAAGTCAATTGGTGTATCAAACTTTAATAAGAAACAAATTGAAAACATACTAAATATAGCTACCATAAAGCCAGTTGTTAATCAAGTATAAATATTTATTAAATATATAAAATTTTAAATGTTATATAAATACTTTATATTTGTTTTTATTTAGATTGAATGCCATCCATACTTGAATCAAAAAAAATTAAAAGAATTTT